AGGCAAAAATTTATGAAGGTAGTGGATTCATGTTTTCAAGAACGCACATATACATACTCCCATACATTGTTCAACATGAAGTACCTATTCACGCGGAACAATGTAAACGGGCGTTGATTGCATGTTGAAAACTATGATATGATATATTGATACATAGCATAACCCCACCTACTTTGAGCGATAAAAGGTTTTAGGTATACTGAATGGGCAACCACCCTGAAAGGTGGCTCATAAAGTCATATGTTCGCTATCTTTCATTAATTCTGATTGAAGTGATTAAGACCAGATCGGCTGCTCGATGACATAAGTAATGTAGTGAATATCTATACGAGGGTTGCCTTTTATATTTCGGGATTAGAGAATAAAAACAAATATTATTCATCGAAAACCGATCTATTGTTTTTCAAAATATTCTCCATTAAGATCTATACACTTTTGACTCTGATTGAGGTATCTCCAAAACATGCGTTCTGAACGCATTAACCGCCTATTCAGGTGTCAAAACCAAAAACATTCAGCTCTTATTTTATTTTTTACCTACGGGAATAAAAATAAGTCATTCGGTCCCAAGTCAGGATTATACGGTGAATGACTTATCAAATCGATGTTTTAAGTGTTCACAAATGCAGTTGTTTCAGTCAATGTGTGAGAGCTCGCATTGTCGTAGTGAAGAGTGATCCGTCTTCGGTGCGTAGTTTTTCTGATTTCTTAAAAACCAACTGGGAAACAGATGGCTGTCTACCACTCAGAATTTACTCCTCTTCGTTATTCTAATGGTAGGGTTGCATGTCCAATTTTTCCAAAAAACACGTAACCATTTGCTTCAAACTTCTTCGTGCGCGAACAACTTATGTTGGATTTGGCTCATCTTGAAACATTCATACAGTTAGCTGTTTACTTACGGACTCATACGACTAACGTGTGCCACTATCGTATTGTTTTAACATTTTTCTCTTTTTTTTTTTTAGTGGTTGACAAATTCTGTGGGATCCGACATGAAACAATTTTTTTTAAAGTCAAATGCTCATGTAATATTTGAGGTATGCTGGTCTCACTAATGCCTATGTTGCACTGTTGCTAAGTTAATCCACGTCGAAAGTTGTAAAAAATAATCGCGCGAATGTTCGCGATTTAATTTCATTTTTTGGCCGAGATGAATATTTTAAGTTACCTAAACAGCACAAATAGATATCATAAGTCAAAACGTTCTGAGTATGTATACAATAAAAATGTCAAACTTTACGACAAAGTTGTGAGTTGCCAGATTGCAACACTAGGATTGCTAAATCCCGAAATATAAAAAGCAACCTACGTAATGCTTGTGTAAACTTTTTATCTATGATCTATCACTAATTTAAGTTAGTTTTTTGCTCACCATTCTCATCAAATTTGACAGATCCTTTTGAACTGTGCACAAACTGAAGTTATGAAATGTTTTTTCCTAGATTGATGCAACCTTTTTTATGTCCGTGTCAAGTTTGTTCACAATATGTCCATAATTGTGTGTTGGCAGCTGTTTTTCTACGATGCGAGAAGTTTTTCTGGCGAATTTTATCATGGAAAAGAAATTTAACAAACTGTTTATTTGAAAATTTGTGTTCTAATGATAAAAAATCCGTATTTGATTGGCTTAACCTTGATATACATAATCGAAGCTCTTAAGCTCTTGAATGACCTATTTTCGCCCTTGTTTATTGTAAATGGGTATACGAAGACAAGGCTTTTTTTTATAAGCTCACAGCTCATCACAATACACCTTCTATACTTCGTAGTCGGGTTTCGAACTATTGAAATGTCGTGATGTCATATCTCTTTGAATTTTCTGCAAAATGTTGACAAGGTTTGGTCTTTTCAATTACAGATACATTTTAGGACATCACCGTCTTTGGTACGGAATTTATTGGTGCGAAGCGTGAACAACACTAAAACAAAAAACTTTAAGGGATCATCGACATTTTTTTTTTTCATAAAAAAGTAGCTTTTCACGCGAATTTTCTTTTTCCCATTATTACAAAATGCCAAAACTTATGTCAGCCAAAATAATCTATCTCACTGACCAACTCCCGATTGCCTGTGTCCTTTGAAGGTTAGGCCTAACTCGAAACATCATCAATTACAATACAAATGGCGTCCAGCATGGAAACGATACGAGCTCTGCTAGTAATAATAACTCCCAATTTAAGAGGTACATGAAAATTTTCAAACCACTTTTCAATTGCTGGCAAGTTGTTTTTCATGACACAACAACATATTACAGCATTAAAACCTATTTGACCTGCGGTATCTGTTCGGAGGTGGGATGGCGTGCAATACTTGATTGAGGCCGTCATAAGAAACTGAGCGTTAGAGATTGTCGTTAGTTTTAAGTAATTATTCACATTTATTCATGAATTATATACACCTAGTTTCAAAGAGGAACAACTAAGGGTATACTAATAGAAAAATTGAGTTCGGTTCGAGAGATCCGTAAACTCACTTCAAAGAATTTTATATCGCCGATAAGCTTTTTTTATATCGCATGGCAGTATCTCTGTACTTATTGCAACATCGTGCTCTGTGCAGTTCGTGCAAAGTCTACACATCTAACGTCCGTTTTCCCTTGCACTCAACCTTCACCTCTGCTAATAAATATTGAATAACAAGAAAACGAAATAAAACAAAAACAAGCAAAATACTTTGAGTCTAATCTCGAAGTAAATACTGACAAAATAAAGAAAGAAAAATGCGCATGTGCACACATTGTTTTTGTTGTTATCTTATTTAGCGCTATATGACTCAGACGCACTTGTTTCCTCTACATAAAGATGTGTTTGCTTAAATGCGGTTGAGTAAGAATGAAGATTAAGTGAGAATGTAGATTTCAAGTAAGCACTAATAATTTCATAAGTTCATCCAAATTTTTCGCCGTTTTGATAAAGATTTTCTTTTAAATGTAAGAGTAAACCTCTTCTTTGGATTTTTGTTTGCAATTAAATGTCAGCTGATGTGTGGTCACCACAATTGATAAAAGCTGAGTTGTTGCCCTGGTTGATAGTACAAGTATTTTATACGAAAACGTATTAAGGCACTTATAAATAGAAAGTATTGGAATTAAAGGGGCTAAAGATTTAAATTAATAATTGAGCAAAACGAAAAAAAATGTAATAAAAACAAGTAAGGAAGGGCTAAGTTCGGATGTAACCGAACATTTTATACTCTCGCAAAGTCAAATGATTTCTTGTGGATCTTGCCGCCTTGTTCTATGTTGACCGATATTTTCGGTAAAAAGTCAACTATAGGCACTGGGGTCAACAAATTCAGTACCTAGGGACTTCAATAGTTTTGGCTCGATTTAAACAATTTTTGGTCACAAGATGGCATAGTTCAAACGCATTATTCACGCAAAGTTTTACCCCAATAGAATCATTGTTGTTTGATTTGCATAGTGAGAGTAGAAAGAATCAGATGGAATTGAAAATGGTGTTATATGGAAAATAGGCGTGGTTGTAATCCGATTTCGCTCATTTTTGCACTATAGCATAGAAATATGAGAAGAATATTATGTACCGAATTTGCAGATGCTAAGATATGGGTTTTCACCTAAATGTGAGCGGTGCAACGCCCATTGTCTAATTTCGAATGCGGCTCCTATAAAGTCAGCTCATACGATCCCTGTGTTAAAATTTAATGACTCTGGCGTGTTTAGTTCTTGATTTATCACGCTTTTAGTAGTTTTTAACAGTACCATTATATGGGGAGTGGGCGGGGTTGTCACACGATTTCACACCGTAGATAGAGGTGCTAAAAACATTTGTTCTCAGTGAATTTTGTTATTATAGCTTTAGCAGTTTAGGAGATATGCACATTAAACCTATTAGGGGCGGAACCACGCCCACTTTAAAATTTTTTTTACCGCAGATGCCCCTCCCTAATGCGATCCTGGGTGCCAAAGACCAGCCTTGTATCTTATTGTGAAGCTTAGTTATAACAATTTATTTGTTTTTGATTAATGGCGTTTTGTGGGCGTGGCAGGGGTCCGATTAAGCCCATCTGCAATACCAACCCTCTTACAGTACCAAGTTTCATAAAGATATCTCAATTTTTACTCAAGTTACAGCTTGCACAGACGGACAGACAGTCACCCGGATTTCAACTCGTCTCTTCATCCTGATCATTTATATATATATAACCCTATATCTAACTGGATTAGTTTTAGGTGATACAAACAACCGTTAGGTGAACAAAACGATTATACTCTGTAGCAACATGTTGCGAGAGTATAAAAAAACTTTGGCGGCATCGAAACTATAATACCTTTGACAGGTGCATTTTATATAGCATAAAATGTTATTAATAAATCTTTATTTTTGAATCGGTCAGTTGTACGTGCTAAATTTTGTGAAGATATCTTATCAAATTAAGTTTTCCATACCAGCACTTCTTTCTGATCGTTCAACTTGTAGGGTAACTAGATGCTATAGCAATCCGATATCGGCAGTTTCGACAAATGAGCAACGTTTTGGATGTGTGTGAATTTCAGAAATCTCAAAAACTGAGGCCTATGAAAGGACGACGCTGCGCTACGACTGAGGATATAAAAACTGCATCGAAGGAGAAGCTGAACAAGATCTCAAAAAATGACTTATTTAAGCGCTCTGAGGATTGGAAAAAACTTTGGCATAAGTGCATTATATCTACGGGTGATTACTTTAAAGGGGACAAAATAGATGTTCATAAATAAATAAACACTTTCTTAAGAAATACAAAATTTGCGATACTTTTTGAAAAATCCTCGTACGCTTAATGGGCTCTCCGGCGTTTCTTTTTCAGCGTTACAAACTACGCGGTAAATTTAATATACCCTGTTCAGGGTATAAATATCACAATTTATATAATATTTGCAATACCAAAGCATAATTTAACAATATAAAAAATATTGAAAGTGATAGCAAAATGAATTGTACCATTTAAATTTCTACAAAGTAAATAATTTAAACTATTTTTCATTTCATGTTTTGCAGATAACAAATTGGCTCGAGGGCGAGATAGGCGCGCGAAACCGCTCGGTCAGTAGTCAGTCGACAAGCCGCGTGTGCAGTTGAAGCGTAAAGTATCGACAGCGTTGAAGGCGGATTAGCGTCAAAGCGACAAACAGCAAACGGAAAAAGTGAGAGGCCGAACATCCATACTTATGTATGTAGCATGCGTGTCAATTTGTCGTGTAATGTAGTGGGACTCGAATTGAATTAGTAGCGAACTGTAAAGTGAGAATGAACGTCGGACGGTTTACACTAAAAAAATAATACATTTGAGAAAATAAATAATTCCTTTCGCCATCGGATTTCACAAATGATTATGAAATGAAATGTGACAACTTGCAACAATTTGCCGCGACCAACAATGTATGCAACGAAATATGGCCTGCAACCGGCAAACGCAACACAATGCCGCTACTTCGGTGCGCCATGCGGCGATTTGACAAGAGCCAGTGAGCGAAATGGGCACAGCGCATGCGCAAATGAAAAGTGTTGAGTACATAAAAATTTGGAAACATATCAAATGGCGGCAACACCATAAACATACGAGAGCATTAAATGTGGCAAGCAGGTAGAGACTTGTTGTTGAAAGCACACAGCGCGAGCAAGCGGTTAGTGAGCCAACTTTGAGTGTTAAAAAGTGGAAGTTTTCAAAAAATATTATTTTAGAAGTTGTGAAAAGTGTTTGAAAGATTCGCGCGGTGTGAATTTTGGCTTCTTCGGTGCATGTGTGAAGACTAAACAAATGTTTTTAAAACAAAGTTTAATTAAGAAAAATAGTGAAATGTAATAAAATAATATATTTTATTAAAACAGTAAATTTAGAAAAAAAATTAGCATAAAGGATTTTAACTTTAACTCAGCCATAAATATATATATATATAAGCTACCTAATGAAAGCTACAGCTTAAGATTGTCATGCGATTTTTTTTTTTCAATTTTAAATCACATTATTCCGTACTTAATTTTTTGTGCATATTATTAGCCCACTTTTGTGATCAATAATTAGCGATAAGTAAATAAAAATTAGTTTTTGCACAAAAGCAGAACAATTCAAACAGTTTCAACAAAACTTTCAACGCCATAAGCAACTAAAGTAAAGGAAAGCTACACAAAACTGGTGAAGCTTCATAAAACTGGTGAAAGCTTCGCCCAAAGCGAGAAATCTTCGCTAAAATTGTAAAAGCTGCACAAAATAACGTGAAAGTTCATCTGTGAAAGAAAAGCAATAAAGCTTTGAAACATATCTCGAATAAAGCGCTGCTGCAAGAGAAACCGTTAGACGTATGGAAATCAGCAACGCCACCACCGAGCGAAGATTCCAAATAAAAAATTAAGTTCTAATTTACAACAAAACCCCGAACCGCAACAAATTCCACAGCGAAAAAATTTAACGTGTGGCAACAACAACAATAGCACATCATACCAAATGACAATATCAAATCGTTTGAATCGCAGGCGAAACATCCACAATAACAACGGTGACAACAACACCGGCGATACTGAATTATTGCTGGTAGGAGCAACAACAAAAACTACACAGAGCTTAGCAAGCGGGCGCATTAAACGCTCTCGTTGTGCAGCAGCAGCCGTCAAAATGTCAGCGCTCAACCAACAGGCGACAGACGATATGACAACTACAACAACAAGAGAGATGAATACTGACAACGCTACAATGAACGGGAATTCAGCTCACAACGGCAGTGTGCGGATGAGCAAGTTTTTGGCCGGGAAATCGCTCAAATATGAGCGCCTCATAAATCAACCGAAAAATACCGGTACAACGGCAACAGCAAAAACTATAACAAAAGCAATTGATGGCATAACATCCGAAGCGGCGCTAAATACTAACGGTAATGAGTGGCTGCCACATCAGCAACAACACTGGCGCTTGCAAGATGAGGCCACAGGAACGATGTCCTCGTGGCTCGATGCCCATTCATCGTCAACGCCCGCAACAGCGACGTCCGCGGCAGCAATGAAGAATTGGCAAGCACATTCGGAAGGCGCGGAAACGCATTTATCACCAGCAGTCAACGGTGTGGATGTAGTAAATGCGAATGCCAAAGCGCCAGCGAAAATGCGAAGCCGCCGTGCCAATGCCAATGGTGGCAGTGGTGGCCATAGCTGGAGTGGCAATTATCAACAGCAGCATCCGCATACGCCACAACCACAGCCACAACCAACGCCGACAACAGCGACAACTCTGGTGGCGGGTACAACAAAACCAACACAGTCGGCGCGCATACAAAGCCAAACCGTTAACAATGGCGGCGGCTTTGGCAACATAACCGGTAATGGCAACAGTTATGGCAGCGGTAATAATGTGAAATATTTTGGCAATGGCGTCGACTGTGATGGCACATCTGCGTCCGACACGGTTGCCCTGCTCAGCGCGTTGCCAACGGACGGCGAACAGCAACAGCCGACCAGGAATTGGCACAGCAACAGTGCCAACTTGACGCGCAGCAGTAAAGGTTTCTACTACACCTCCGTCGACAGCGGTGCTGACTTCGATGTAACTTACCCGTCGCAAGCGCCATCCGCGTCCGATTCGCCGCTGTACTACTCATCAGCTGCGTCGTCCGCGCGTTCCGCCTCCTCACCCGCCGATTTTTATATGTCCAACGGTGCCTCGGCCTCTTCGCCGTCCATGTCGGGGTCGGGGTCGAGCTCTGCGCATGGGTCATCATCCGCTGCCGTTGCATTGGCATGTAATTGTTGCAGTAATTTAATTGCCCGCTGCTGCTTCGGCATACCACTGTTGAAGGCAATCAACGTGCGTCGCTGTGTGTTGGCATTGTTCGCCATAACGGTCGTTACGATATTTTACTACACTCATTACGTTGATACGGGCGTTTTTGTCGGGTAAGTGGCATGCGAGCGAAATGCTCGGCGAAATTTTCCTTATAAAGACTCAGCACGCTTACACAAATATACAGCCAAAAACATTAACGCAAGTGTGCTCATACTGACCCCAGCGTATATTGCTTATGTACTGATAAAACATCGTAACTCGAAATAGTGATGTTCTGAGGACTAATACTTACCATTTGTTTTATATGATTTTTTGTGTCTATAGTAAGCTCGTTTTACGTTTGAATTTTTGTATCCCTAAAAAGTAAATAGTTTTTCTGATGTCTCCAAGATTCAAAATTTAAGCATTTCCATCCGATTTACCAAAATATGTTGTTGCTATCAGATAGCCAAATATCTGAAAATATATCCCCGCATTGCCTTAAATTTTCATTACTCGGCGAAATCTATACCGAATAGTTTCTTATCCTTCACTCTTTTCGGTTCAATAAGCCGCTGTCTGCAGTTTTCGTCATTTGGGTCAAAATCAGTATTGCTTTTCTTATCCAAACCGTTTTCGTGGCCTACATTAAGTTGCATACTTATTTTACCGTAATCGCACACACACCTAATACGTTGCTAATAAAATTACCTCTAAAAATATTCTTTTGAGTAACGACTGTTTAGCCGTAAACGAGCATTCACCACACATGTAAGTAATTAATGACTTACACTCGCATACATACCCGCATGCACCATAATTTTAATGGTAGAATTTGCAATGGCTGTACGAAGCGATACATTTTTTATTGCATACTTTTGTAGATTCGTTAAAGGGCATTTAATGTAATCACTTTAAAGCAGGGTCTAATTGGCAAGTCAAGAGTATCTCGGAAGTACTATTAATAGGTGGTTTGAAGGTGTCGCCGTTATTTTTTTGTTATTGTTTGTAGCTTATACCGTTATTGATTTCAGGAAGTTCAAATAAAATTCTAAAAGGTATTATGGTCCTTTGGAAAATGGGACCAAGGTTTATATTTCAAATAAAATGTTTTACTTTAAATTAAGCAAATTCTTCTTGCGTTCCAAGTCTGCTGGCCAATCAAGTATCTAACAGGACTAATTTATAAGGCTTATTGAGCTCAAACAAGGCCGACGGAGCCAGTGCGTGAAATCGTAAAATACGACTTGAATTCGGCAAAAAATATCGTCATTGGACTCCAAAGGAGTGAAAAACAGTCTTCCTTTGGCATGAGAGGAAAATAATTAGACTGATGGAAAAACTTACGTTTCGCGTCCACGGTGTAAAGAGTTTGACCCAATCACCCATCCCCCGCTGAAGCACGGCGGCGGTAATAAATGATATATGATATAGGGTGATATGTCATGGAGGGGTATTGGGTCTATAAATAAAAATTGAAGGTCAGATGGATAAGCACCAGTATATTTCTATATTGAGATATGAAAAGCTTTCATATTCTGACGACAATATGCCTGTTACTTGGCTGTCTTAGCAACATAACGACCTCGAACATACCGCGCGCTCCGCTAAACGATGAATGGATGATAATTTAATTTCTTTATTAGAGTGGCCTTCATGGGAGGAATTGAAAACGAAGGCTCAATTGCACAAAGTCGAAAATTTTTAAATCAAATTAATCAAAGCCCGGAAAATTACTTCAGGTGTTGGCAAAACTTTATATTAAACAAGTAAGGAAGGGTTAAGTTCGGATGTAATCGAACATTTTATAATCTCGCAAAGTCAAAAGGCTCGTTTTAGATTTCTTTGTGGATCTTGCCGCCTTGTTCTATGTTGACCGATATTTTCGGTAAAAAGTCAACTATAGGCACTGGGGTCCACATATTCAGTACCTAGGGGATTGAACAGTTTTGGTTCAATTAAGATAATTTTTGGTCACAAGGTGGCATACTTTAAACGCATTATTCACGCAAAGTCTTACGCCGATATAATCATTGTTGCTTGATTTGCATAGTGGAAAGTGAAAGAATCAGATGGAAATTAAAATGGTGATATATGGGATATAGCCGTGGTTGTAATCCATTGCCAATTTTTGCACCATAACATTTGTAAATGTTATGTACCGAATTTTGTTGAATTCGGTTAAGCAGATCCCAAGATGTGGGGTTTCACCTAAAAGTGGGCGGTGCCACGCCCACTATCTAATTTTTTACGCGGTTCCTATAAAATCATCTTATACCATCCCAGAGATAAAATTTAATGTCTCTGGCTTGTTAAGTGCTTGATTTATTCCGCCTTTAGTAGTTGTTAACAGTACCGTTATATGGGGAGTGGGCGGGGTTTTCCCCCGATTTTACTCGTTTTCACACCGTCGATATAGATGGTAAAAACATTTGTTCCCAGTAAATTATGTTATTATAGCTTTAGCGGTTTATCCACATTAAACTTATTATAACTCACTAATGTGATCCTGTATACCAAATACGAGTCTTGTATCTTATTGCGGAGCTTAGTTATGGCAATTTATATGTTTTTGATTAATAGCGTTTTGTGGGCGTGGCAACCTTCTTACGGTACCAAGAAACATGTGTACCAAGTTTCATAAAGATATCTCAATTTTTACTCGAGTTACAGCTTACATAGACGGACGGACGGACAGACAGTCACCCGGATTTCAACTCGTCTCTTCATTCTGATCATTTATATATATATAACCCTATATCTAACTCGATTAGTTTTAGGTGATACAAACAACCGATAGGTGAACAAAACTATTATACTCTGTAGCAACATGTTGGAAGAGCATGAAAAAAAACTCTGACCAAAAATTTTCACCGCATTTGCTTGAAAAGTTTTTTTTTTATTAGACCGCCGTAGTTGTTAACTCTGTACAACACAAAGGTTGCCTTATTTAATATAATCTTATATATGTACATATGTATATTTCAACTTTTAAGCTACTCCCTCGAGGTGCGCTGCCGTGAAACGGTAAACTTTTTGCGCTCAAAATTATGAAAATGCAAGGAATTGAGTTGCAACTATGCACATGCGCTCGCACCAACACAAGTGGTACATCTTGTGGCGTAATTGAATTCTCATAGGTTCCCGGCTTCATTGCCGGCCCGTTTAGTTAGTATTAAGTTTTAATTTAAATTTGCTTGCTCTTGCTCTTCTTTTTCGGGACTCACGGCTACCATTTGCACACACACTTTTGTTTTTTTGTTGTTATTGTAAATATGGGTGTATGTGCATGCGGGCGCTCATTTTAACCGCTGTGGCTCGCCTGCTCCTTTGCATTCCATAATTTCTATTTGTTGCATTTAAGTATGTATTTGTTGTTGCATTTATTTTTTCTTCCTACTCTTTGCACTTGCATTTTCTAGCCTTTTTTGCCGACATTTGGTCAAATTTTTTATTGCGTTTCCGCATAGGCAGTTCGCTTTGCAACCAACACTTTGTTGATGTTGTTGTTGTTGTTGTTGTTTTTACATGGTTAGTTTAAATTCGCACTTTTCTAGCCGTTTTGCTTCTAAGCACTCGCTTTTCGCCTCAGCCTAGACAAAAATTTCTTCTCTTTCTCCGTCATCGCTTCTCCTCCCCGTTTTTATCTGCAACTCTTTCCGGAATGGTGCGCAAATAAAAATGTAATTTGCTTTTGGTTTCGCAGGCTAGCGATTTGAATGTGTGCGGTAATTGGATAACTCGACAGGAAGTAATATAGATATTATAATAAGGGATAATTGGATAATCGCAATTTCACTTCAAGTCGACTTTATGCACAATTTGTGGGTAATATTTGCTTCGAAGTGTGCAAATGGGAAATGGTGAGGGCGCGGATGAGAGTGAAGTCAGTGATCACGGACAGGATACGTGATAGGATATTTCGAGGCATAATGATAAGAAAGGAAATGTTATTAATGTACCGTTTGTGGTCGCATAATTAAATACTGAACAGGTTATATTAAGTTTGCCATGAAGTTTGTAACACCCAGAAACGTTGGAGACTTTATAAAGTTTGTATATACTGTATGATCAGCGTGATGTGCTGGAAAACATTTTTATTTGGGAAAAGTGCAACCGAAGTTTTTCTTCTTTTCTTTCAATTAAGTGTTAGTCAATAAACCGCGTATAATGTAAACTATGGTTATTTGAGAAAATTTACCACAATCTAAAATTTCTTCCAAGCTGTCTTCGAAAGTGCATACTCCACTTATTTCTATGTCGATTTATTAATAATAGCCAGAGAGTCTCAGTCTGTTTGTCAGGTAAGGATAGGCAACATTTTTTTCCCTCATGATTTTGGTGTGAGTACCGGAAAGCAATGAAAATTATTTTAATTTTTAAAATAATTTGTGCTTTTAAAGTCTGAGTGTTATTAATTTTTTGAATTTTAAGTTAGGCCAATAAGATCACGAAATATTACTTATTTTCCAATGCCCCATCTTCTCAAAAAATTATTAAAACATGAATTTTTGAGTTGATAACAATCTGATAAAGTTTCCCCTTATATTATCTTATAACTGGAAAAGCTATGCAGCAGTATGTGCTATAAAATTAGCTTCGGAGAATGTTGACTGAACTTCGACTTTGCTTATTAAAACCTTCGACAGCTAATGGAACAGTCTTAAGTTGTAAGTAATATATAATTATAGGAGTAAAAAAAGTTGAAAGCCTCGTTTGTCAGCTTGGGGTACGTTTGGTCAGGATCGGTTAGGTCGTCGGGTTGCCCACGCGCAAAGGTAGAGCTTGATATCTTAGACAGATGTGCGCGTTGGTCCTTTGTAATACCCAACAAAACCTAAAAATTCATCACCAGATACTCATAAGATGACGAAGCATTTTGAGCTTACCACAAATTTGTTAACGCGGTTGATATTAATTCCGTGAAGTTCCTTTACGTAGAGCTTGTGAATATTAAACGACGATGATATTTTTTGAGAAAGACTTCGAGATCCAAAAAAATATTTGTTTTTGCCTCTGAGCCTTCAAAAAGCAGGCGATTTTTATAATATGCATATTATTTCAAAGTAGGTTATACTATTTTAAACCGTATTCCCTTTTGGCTAAATATTTTAAGCTCGAAAGAGGTTCG